CTGAGCAAACGCCATCGTGCTCGCAGGGCCCGGCCGCCTCTGCCCAGCAGAACGGCGTCTCGCTCCAGGACGCTCGTTCCTTGGGTTCCGCGATCGGCAGCGCGTCCGCCAGCTCGCCCGTGGGGCCTTCAGGCTGCGAGGCTCGGGCAGCCAGTGCGCTGCACCAGCTCCAGCTCCCGAAGTGCTGTGCGCTCTGTGCTGTGGTTCCGATGCTGCAGTGATTGAGCAGCGCGCGAGGGGGGGGGCAGGCAACCGTCCAGCCCCCGCCCCCGCATGACGACGCGTCTGCGCCCACGAAGCCCCCATCTCTGGTAGCCTCTGGCAGCTTACTACGCGCTGGCGCTCTCGAGGCCGCAAGAGCCCCCATGCACGACGTCGAGCACGCGATCCCCCAGCAGCAGTCCACTGCAGATGACACGGGGCTCGCGCTCCCGAGGACACACACCATCCTCTGCCGTCGCAGAGCACCACGGCACTCCGCCCGAGGAGGGGGAGGAGGAGGAGGAGGAGGAGGAGGAGGAGGAGGAGGAGGAGGAGGAGGAGGAGGAGGAGGAGGAGGAGGACCCGAAGCCACCATCCTTCACAGCGCGTGACGGGCCCGCGTCCCCGAGGCCACGGCCCCCCGCATCCGCGAAGCGGCACCCTCCGAGCCGCAAGCCCCTCTCCAGCTGCCGTCGGAGTCGAGGTCCCGAGGCCACAGCCCTTTTTTCGGCGGTGGACAAACCTCCCTTTCGCAGACCTCCCCTTAGTGAAAACGGCCTGGGACCGAAACCGACGGGCCTGGACCCGCAAAAATGACGGCCGCGACGCCCTCTCGCGAACCGAAAACGGGCAATTCCTCAATCGACGTGTCAGGGTAGGAGGTCTGGCCACAGCCCTTTGTGAGTTGAACACGAGTGCGCCCCCGAAGCGACAGTCCGTGGAAAATTACCACGCGCTGGCGCTCCGCGGCCACACACCCAGTGAATTACCCAAGGCTCGCGCACCCCAGCCCTTACCCAAACTTCAGTTACGCCAGATTCGCGCTCCCGAGGCCACAATTCTTCTGAATTCGACAAGTCTGCGTTCCCGAGGCCACACTTTCTTGTAAAATACTACGCTTTTACGTTCCACGGAGGCTGCCCAATAGCGCCAACCCCGCTCAGGAGCAGCAAAACTGACATGTTCTGTTTTGGGGTATGTGTTCGGGGGGGCGTTGTTCAGAGCTCCACTTCGAGAACGGGGCTCGGCGCCACGAGTCCTCGTAAATAGCTAGGGGCGCGCGCTTCAGAAGCCTCGAGCCATCGCACATTACCGCGGAGGCGCACCCCCGAAGCCGCAGCATCCTGCTTGCATTGTTCTACACTGCAGCGCCCCCAAAGCAACAATCACCTTGCAACAAGCTGGCGCCCCCGAAGCCACCATCCCGAGTAAAGTACGCCAGGCTCGCGCTCCTGGCGAACATCTCAGATAAACTACGCCAAGACTCGCGTTCCCGACACCATAACCCTTCGCACATTGCGGCAAGCTTGCGCCCCCGGAGAAACCCTCCCACGTACATCATTACGCGCTGGCGCTCCGCGGGCAACCAGAAACCTCACAACACCCACCAGCCAAGCGTGGCCACGCAAGCAAGCCAAGAGGCGCCGGCGGCAGAGGGCGAAGGCTTCGCCCTCTGCTGCCGGCCAGTAGTATGTACAGTCGTACAGTCGGGCTTGGTTGGGCAGGACACGCGAGAGGACACAAGACCCTTCCGGGGGCCACATTGCCACGGGAATGTACAAGGCATGGGTCGCGAGACACGGGGCACAGGAGCACCCTTGATTCGGCAAGGTCGACCTACTAATCCGGGCCGACTGTAGATGTACGTGTGCATCTACACGCCCCGCGGGCACTGGGCCTTGCTTCGCTCGGCCGGCTGTGCAGGGCGAGAAGGAGGTGCTCCCCCCGCCTCCTCCGCCTCACCATCACCCTTCGCATCCTCGATGCGGGGGCGTGCTGAAGCGGGCAGGGCACCGGGCTCTGGAGCGGGGCGCCGACCTCTCTGCACCGCGCCTGGCGTCCTGCTGGGCCACGGCGGGAGCCGGCCCGTGCCGCAGGCGTCGGTGCTGACCGACTGCGACGCCCTGCGCCCGCACTGGTGCTCTGCCGACGAACGGTAGGCATGCCACACCGCAGGGCAGCGGTAGCTCCAGCGACGCCCGGTGCCCGATGCGGCGTCCTGCTGACGACCAGCATGCACTCGGCCCCACGGGGACGTGACCCCCCGAGCCCTAGCCTGGTGGGACAGTCGACACCAACGAAAGCAGGCAGGACCGCCTGCGGACCGCCGCCAGCACAATAGGCAACAGCGGCAGCCTAGTTCAAGTCCCCAGGGCACCAAACATCTTCGTCTCTAGGTCGCCCACTATCCGAAAAACTCCACCGTCCTCTCATTAAGGTCGATACTGTAACTGCGTACTGCTCTCGCGGAACCAATGCTAAGTGCACTCACAATCTTTTCCTGGTGTCAAAGATATTCGAGCAAAAATGTCCGAAGACGCTGCAAAACCGTCGGCGCTGCGCTGCGACACTTATTTGTACAGCAAGCTCCACTGTCATCCCTCCCCTGCCTCAGACGAAGCCAGGCCTGTCGCTGCTCCATGGTGCCGTCCCACGCGAGCGTTATGGGCGCTACTCCGTTGTGGCCATCCCAGCGTCCCTGGGGGGGGAGAGAAGAGGAGGAGGAGGACAACGGAGGACGGAGAAGGACGGAAGACGGAGGGGAACTGAGAATGCGGAAGAGAAGGAGGGATGGGGAGGAGAGGGAGAGATATGGGCGACGCTAGCCAGCAGTAGCGCGGCGAGGTGACTGAGAGGCCGCGGGACGCGAGAAGGACAAGGAGCAAGATAAGGCACACTATGACATGGTGGAGTCAGCATCAGCATCACAATCATCATCATCATCATCATCATCATCATCATCATCATCATCATCATCATCATCATCATCATCATCATCATCATCATATCATCATCATCATCATCATCATCATCATCATCATCATCAGCAACATCATCATCATCATCATCATCAACACCGTCATCGTAATCATCATCGACATCGTTATCGTTATCGTCATCGTCACCATCATCATCCTCATCCTCATCCTCCTCCTCCTCCTCATCCTCCTCATCATCATCATCATCATAAACGTCAGCATCAGCATCATCGTCGTCACCGTCGTCGTCATTGTGATCATCGTCATCGCCATCGCCAATGTTACTTCTGACAGCCCCGCGCCCTTGCTCCCTCTCATCCTCCTTCTTCGGGTCCAAACCTTCAGGACGGCTGGATAGGGGCTGTCGACTGGCAGGGTGCCGTCGCTGAACCGCAAGACGCAACTCTTGTGTGCCTCCTTCACCTCGAACCCGATACACTCGGACACCCCTGTGCACATGCCCGCGCAGTCTCTGAGGTCAACGGGGCCCCCGCTCCACTGGTCGAATAGCTTCTTCTCGTCGGTGGCACACTCTCCACGACCCATGTAGTCGTAGCCAGACACCGCCACGCCCTCCACCTCGCTGCAAGGAGGAAAAGAGACCCTGATGAGAGCAGGTCCTGGGCCACGGGGAATCTCCTGGGATCGGCGCCTCACCCGGAGCCGCCTTCTGACGGCCCTGGGGCCAGAGAACCGGCCCGGACCCCCCCGGGCCCCGAGAGACTGGAAACGGCGGGGACCTCAGGGCATCCCTCTCCCTCCCCAGGTCTCCGACGTCTGGTTTCCTTGGAGGAGGAGGAGGAGGAGGAGGAGGAGGAGGAGGAGGACCAGTGCACACCCAAGAGTCATCAACGATGTGAGAATGAACCCTCCCTCCAAGCTCCCTTTTCACAGGCCCCTACAGAGGTTCATTTCCATTGAAGGAACTGCCTCGTTGAATAACAAACGTTTGGAGACCTTGAAGCATGCCAAGACATTGCTCTCCGAGTTTCCACGCCACGGATCAACCTGATTGCTGCGTCCTGACGATCTGGAACCGTGCCAGAAAGCCATTCTTGGGACTTCAATGCCGCGAACCAGCATAACTGTAACACCCGCATAATCCGGAATCTTTCCAAAACGCCATTGCTAGTACGTTGATCATGGGAATTCGTGAAACTCTTGCAAATGTTGAAAACGAATGTACGCGGCGCTGAGGCGAGAACCACATTTTGAAAAGAAACGGCCCTCAATCCGTGAAGCTCTTGCAAACGTTAAAACATGTGCGCGGCGCTGAAGCGAAAACCACATTTTGAAAACGACCTGCCCTCAACCTGTTAAAATCTTGCAAATGTTTAATACGAATGTGCGCGGCGCTGAGGCGAGAAACACATTTTGAAAAGAAACCGCCCTCAATTCGTCAAATTTTTACACATGTTTGAAACGAATGTGCGCGGCGCTAAGGCGAGAACCACATTTTGCAAACCAACCGCCCTCAATCCGTGCAACCTTTTAATACGAATGTGCGCGGCGCTAGAGCGAGAGCCACATTTTGACCCCCCCCGCCCTCAATCCGTGAAGCTCCTATGATTATGTACAACGAGTGTGCGCGGCGCTATAGCGAGAGCCATATTTTGAAAACGACCCGCTCTCCATCTGTGAAACTGTTGCCATTCTAAAGCTTCAGGGCCATGAGTGGTGACGACGTCTCAGGCGAAACGCCTGGCCCGCCCTAAAAGCTGGCCTCGGGGTTCGACAGAGAGAAATTATTGATCGGGGAGAAGAATGGAGGAGGAGGAGGAGGACGAGGAGGAGGAGGAAGAGGAGGAGGAGGAGGAGGAGGAGAAGACGAGGAGGAGGCCGAGGAGGAAACTATTCCTGGTGATCAAGGCTAAAGTAGGTAGGAACATCATAATACCAGGAGGAGGAGGAGGAAGACGAGGAGGAAGACGAGGAGGAGGAGGAGGAGGAGGAGGAAGGAGAAACTATCTATCAGGATAAGGAACGAATCAGGATCAGGCTTTCAGAGGCCTGGGCCTTCTCCCTGGGCGGCTCTCCACTCCGAGCCGTCGCTTGACGGCCCCAGGGCCCATCGTTGGGTCGGGCGCGTCCCCCTTACAGGCGGCGTTTGGCCGAAAGATGAAACAGATCCTTTGAACATGCTCTAGCATAGTAAACACAGATCGTCGAAGAACATCGTCCCCGGAGCACTGCTTGGCTAGGCTTGAATCTTCCCCCTGTGGAGGGACAGAGGCCCAACGGAAGCCCAGCGAGGAACCACGACCTCCTCGCGACGTTGGAGGCCTGGGTTTCGGCTCTCCCTTCGGCCCCCCTCCTCGGCCGCCGGCCCGGCCCCCTCCGCGGGCGGCCCCGGCCGCGGAGGCGCGGCGGGGGGCCCGCGCGGCGGCGCCCGCGGACCCGGGCGCCCGGCCAGCGGGGCCGCGCTCGGCCCGGGGAGGAGCTGCCTGGGCACCGCTCGGCCGGTGCTTTCTGTCCCCCCTCGACTGCCTGCCGGACCACCCCAGCCCAACCCGAAGACCCGAATTTGACCCGAATGTCGGGTTTGGGGGGGGGGACGGATTCCATGTGTTTTTGTCAACGTTCCCCGACCCCCCCCCCACCAGAAATGGAGGGCAAATCGAGGGCTTCGGGTTGGGTTGGGGTGGTTTGGTGGGTGGTGACCACTGGCGTGGCCGGGCCCCCGTTGGGGCGACCTACCCCCCCTGGATGAACAAAAACAATTGCCCCAGTGCGACCCTACCCAGAAGTTGGAGCCCCTAGGAAAACGGCATTAGTTGCTGTGCTATGCTATGCTATGCTATGCCATGCTATGCTAAGCTATGCTACGCTATGCTATGCTATGCTAAGCTATGCTAAGCTATGCTATGCCATGCTGCGCTGTGCTATGCTATGCTCTGCTCTGCTCTGCTATGCTATGCTGCGCTGTGCTGTGCTGTGCTGTGCTGTGCTGTGCAGTGCTGTGCAGTGCTGCGCTATGATAATTATGCTATGCTATGCTATGCTGCACTATGCTATGATATGCTATGCTGGGCTATGATATGGTATGCTGAGCTGCGCTATGCTATGCTACGCTACGCTATGCTATGCTGTGCTCTGATATGCTAAAGCTCAGCGAAGCTAAGATGACGGTAAGCTAAGCTAAGTTAAACCTGAGCTAAGATGAAGCTAAGCTAAGCTAGGATGAAATACGCTAAGCTAAGATGAGATAAGCAACGCTAAGCTAAAATCACGTCACTGGGGGAACCGCGGGGCGGATGCTGGGGGAACCGCCGGGGGCGGGTTCCACTGCCCGGCCCTTTAAGCATACCAAGTAAGAACCCTTCTAGGCAGAGCCTAGGTAGGGAAACATAAAAAACAATAAACAAAACAAAACACACAAAACAGATAACAACAACAAACACAAAACAACACACAAACAACACAGTGGGAAAAAAACAAAAACCAAAAACAACACACAAACACAGGCTCCGGGCTCCGAGGGCACATCCCCAGCTGGAATGGCAGGGTGGTGGGGATCGGGACGGGGACGGGGATCGGTTCCGTGACTGCCTGCTCCATCCGGCCCCGCCGGGCGCCTCTGGCCCCAGGAGCACGGCCGCCGTCGCGGCCGACGCGGGGCGGGCCACAGCCGACCCTGCCAGGGCCCCTGGCCCTCCCCCTGGCTGGGGGGCTGAACCTCGTCGCAGGTTGTTCGGGTGCGGCCCCCCGTCGTCGTCTTTTCGCTGAGGGTTGGTGTCCCTGTTGCGTCTCCTCCTTCTCCTCCTCCTCCTCCTCCTCCTCCTCCTCCTCCTCCTCCATCGCTGCCCTCCTAAATAACTCCTCCCTGTCGCATCCAAAGAAGCGTCGGTAGCGCGGCCCAGGCGTTTCACCTGACACCCTCACTATTTGTAATCCTGAATTCTGAAATTTACAACCGCTTCATGGACGAAGGCGGGTGGTTTTCAAGTGGCTCTCGCCTTAGCGCCGCGCACATTCGTCCTCCAAGCATGCAGAAGTCTCACGGATGGAAGGGAGGTGGGTTTCCGAATGTAGTTCTCGCCTTAGCACCTCGCGCATTCGTCTTAAAGCTTGCACAAATTATCCACACTTAGAAGGCGGGCGGTGTTCAAACCATGGTGTTGGCCTTAGCGCGCACACTCGTGATTAACAAGTTTGCAACAGCTTCACGGATGCAGGGCGGGGGATTGGTTAGAATATGCCTCTCGCCTTAGTGCAGCGCCGCGCACATCCGCCCTTCAAGTTTGCAAGAGCTTCGCGGATGGAGGGCGGCTCCTTGTCCAAATAAAGCCATCGCCTGGGTGCCGCGCACATGCGTCCTAACAGTATCATGGTTGACATCCCAACAGTGTTGCTTTGGCACGATGTCGTATTGTCAGGGCGCAACAGATCTTCGCAGTCTCGACCCCACGAAAAGCGTTCTGGAACAATCCCGGATCGTCAGGACGCAATAGTGAAGTTAATCCGCGGCGTTGCAAGCCCAAGAACGGTGCCCTCGCACGTTACAGAATTTCCGAGCTGCTGCGTTCCAACGGGGCGCCTCCCTCTGCGAAAATGAACCCCGTTGCAGGGACCGTTGAAAGGCAAACTGAAGAGGGAGGGTGTATTGCACCATCGTTGATGATCCTTGGGCCATGGCTATACCTTTGCCATCCTTAGAGGAAAGAGAACTATGCACATACGCCGATTCTGGCCAGGCCCATCCTGAGCCCAGGATCGGTGCGTCAAGGACGGGCCTTGCCAAGATCGGTGCATGTGTATAGCTCTCTTCGCCCGAATCCTCCCCTTCCTCCTACCTCGTGTCTTAAAACAGGGCTAGGATCGGGATAAATCGCTCCAGAGCGTTCCGGAGCGCTCTCAGAGCGTTCCGGAACGCTCTGGAGCGGCCGCGGCGCCCAATACATCCTCCAAACCCGCCGATTCTCAGAGATTTCGAATTATCCCGATCCGATTTTGTCCCGATCTTCGCGTCGTTTGATGTCTGCTCTTCCGCCCCAGGTGTGGCCTCGATGCCGCCCCGCGCCCACTGCCAGGGTGATGGAGCCCTGGCCGGCCGCCCCAGCCGCTTCCAGGCGAGGCGCCCTCCGTCTCCTTTCCTCTGCCTTCGCGGCCGCCCGTCTGTTCCATCCTCCTCCTCCTCCTCCTCCTCCCCCTCCTCCTCCTCCTCCTCCTCATCCGCGTCCCCCTCCCCCTCCTCCTCCTCCTCCCTCCTCCTCCTCCTCCTCCTCCTCCTCCTCCTCCTCCTCCTCCTCCTCCTCCTCCTCCTCCTCCGTCTCCTCCTCCTCCTCCTCCTCCCTCCTGCCGCGGGACACTGAGCAGCTGCCCTCTCCAGGCCGCTCGAGCGCAGGGGCGGACTGCCTTTGCCGCGCTGCGGCGCAGAGGGTGCCTGCTCTGCCGCCGTCCCCCGCCCCTGCCCTCCACCATCGATCCTCCGCTCGTGCCCCATCATCTCCGGGAGCGGCCAAGAGGGGGGTGTCCAAGAGGGGAGGGTGCACATCATGACCGGCGGCATGTGCGCGGCCCAGCGGGGGGGCCACGAGCGTAATGAAATAAGAAGAGGCGCCATGAAATCTGGGGAAAAATCATGCCCCCCCCCATGCTATCCCCCCCCTAGTCATCACCCCCCTCTTTGCCGCCCCCGACATCTCTCCTTCTTCCTCCTCGTCCCTCACTGCTCCTTCCCTCTTCTCTCTCACTGCTCCTCGTCTCTCCATCCTCCACCGTGGTGCATAGATCCTGGTCCTTTCGCTGCCTAAACACGGCCCTCGCTCTAGCACCGCGCACATTCGCCTTACATATCTCAAACAAGTACACGGTTGGAGAACCGGTCGCTTTCAGAATGCGGTTCCTGCGTCGATACCGTGCACCTGCGCCGTCAGAATTCCAAAAGCTACACGAACAAATTGCGGTATCTTTTCTATATGTGGCTTTCGCCGTGATGCCGCGCACATCCGATTTCGAGAGAAGCAACGACTACACGCATGGAACACGTATGGAACATATTACTTAGTGGAACAACAAATCAGCTACACGGGCGGAAGGCATGAGACCTTCTTCGGATGATAGCTGTGATGCTCTATGGTACGACACGTGAGACTTCCAACAAACACGCCAATGGAGAGCAGTCCATGTTCAAAATATCGCTCTCACGCCAACGTCACTCAAAACACAAATCCTACAACTAAATTCAAGCAGCTACACTGGAAGAAGGCGGCTCATTTTCGATACGGCGTTCTCGCTATGGTACCTCGAACGCCTCCCTGAGAGGGATAACCACCGACGTGGATGAGCACTGTCTCCTTATGTGACAGGGTGAGCTGTGTAACGTCTTATTAGTTATCTTGCGAGACGGATGTTGAGTACATGTGATCACCCTCGCCGAGCCTCCCGGGACCAGAAAGCCACGGACCACCACACACCCTCCAACCAACCATGACAAGACGGAACGAAGATCCGCAGGGCAGGATGGACGAGGAGGCACTGGGGGGGCACATGTGGACCCTCTGTCTGAAGCGCGCTGTGCAAAGTTATGCGGCCGCGTCTACATGCACGGTGGCCGCGGCACGTGGTGCGGCTCCCATCATGAAGGCCCGTCCGGCCCTCACCTGTCCAGCGGGCGCTTGCCGTGGCGATAAGAAACACACGTTCGCGCTGGCTGCCGCACAGGGGACGTGGGACAGGAGAGGTTATTTCAGCATCACGGGTGCGTGCTGGGTCGACTGTGGTCCGCCTAACACATCCAAACCAAGCCGCCATCCTGTCCCTGCCCCCCCCATCCCAATCCCTCACAGGCAGGCCTCCCCCTCTTCCTCCTCCTCACACACCACAACAGTTGGGAGCGCAGGCCTGACATTTCGCCTTAGGCGACCTTGAAATGTATGGTCCTGAAACACGAAATTGGATGAGTGGCGGTCTCGCCTCAGTGCCGCGCGGATCTGTACTAAAAGCTGGCAGCAATTTCACGGATGGAAAGCGGCCCATTCTCCAAGTGTGACCCTCGCCTGTGCGCAATACACAGTCGTCCTAAAAAACGTGCGACGCCTACGCAGGAGGCAAAGGCAAGCTGCGCCTTTCCAAAGCTGGGTTGTCTTTGTGTTCGCCTCCCTTGACAGACATGCAAGATCCGCTGACTGAGAAGATCCCCCCCTACACGGGTGAAGAGGCGGCCCTTCTCCAGAGGTACCGTAGCGTTGCACGCCTGGCACGTGCTGGTTCTGGGGTGCGGAAACTAAAAGCCATGCGACACGGCTGCGGCAACCACAAACCACAACTGAGGAGGAGGAGGAGGAGGAGGAGGAGGAGGAGGAGGAGGAGGAGGGAGGGGGAGGAGGGGGGGGGGGGAGGGGGAGGAGTGGGAGAGGAGGAGGAGGAGCAGGAGGAGCAGGAGGAGGAGGAGGAGGAGAGGAGGAGGAGGAGGAGGAAGAGGAGGAGGGGAGGAGGGGGAGGAGGGGGAGGAGGAGGGGGAGGGGAGGAGGAGGAGGGGGAGGAGGAGGAGGGGGGAGGAGGAGAAGGGGGAGGGGGAGGAGGAGGAGAAGGGGGAGGAGGAGGAGGAGGAGGAGGGGGAGGGGGACCCTGCGCACCCCCCCGACCCCGCAGCAGCGAGCGAACAGCACGTCACACTGTGCAGGAGCTGCACGGACGGAGGGCGGGCCGTCTCTCTCGCGCGGGGGCCGCGCTCGCGCCGGACGGCTGCACGCCCGCACGGCTCCGGAGCCGTGGCATGTGCAGCAGCTTCGCGCGGATAGGCGTGTATATATATGTGTGTATATATACGTATATTTGAATATGTAGGTATATTTATGAGTATAGATATACATGTCTATATATTCCTACACATAAATATTCATCTTATATATTCGTATCTGATTACTCATATTTACAATCATCTATATATATGCACATATGTATATATGTATATACGCTCGGCACTCCAAACAGACCTGGCACCGACGATATCCGCACCTGCTCTTCCAGGGACCGGCGATGTTCCCCGCGGTCGGCCTGACGTCACCCCGTGTAGCTTGAGAGTGGGCCTGGATCAGGGCGCGGATGCAGATACACTTCCACACGCACACACACATATGCACACATATATATATATATATATATGTATGTGCGTATACAGATATAGCGTCCCAAAGAGAGGCTACAGACCCATGGTGCTCCACACAACATAACCTTCCACACTCGTGGGGGTCCACTCGGAACCAAGTTCCGCACGCATTGGGTTCCCCACAACAGTGGGTCCCAAACACGCATGGCTGCACACAAGTAGGACTCCACAATGATTTCACATAATGATTGGGTCCACGCGCTAACAAATATGCTGCATACCCTTCCCATATACCCGGATGTCTGCCACCGTGCCTCCTTGGCACGTTAAGGCGTGGTAAAATGCAAAATGTTGTCTGGTAGGGCTCCTGTCACCTTCTCAGGGACGACTCCCACGCCGCCTGAGCATTTACCCGCATGCACCGTCCTCCCCCCATTTCCCCTTGCAAATCGATTGCCCGGATGAGAACACGATTCCTTCCAACCGAAAACATGCCCGCACTCTGGAAACCAAGAATCATCGTAAAAAAATCGATCCACCCTCCCGAGGGCACGATCCTGAATAAAACAATATCCGTGCTCCCGTGACCACGGTCCATCATACAAAACCATAGATCCGCACTGACGAGTTTCCAAGACGGCCACGGCGAACAACCAAGGCCACCACGATGGCCCAAGATGCGTCTGACACAAGCCAAGATGGCCTCACGACGACCCAAGAGGCCCCGCAGCCAACCCAAGATGGCCACAAGAGGACCCTCAGTAAGATCCGAAGAAATCAACTTCCACAGGTTTTTGAAAGATCTGGGCGTCTTCACCTTTTCGGGCTTCTTTCAGCTCCAGACGGCCCTACAATCCTGCAATATGGCCCCAAGACGGCCAAAGAGGGCTCCAAAACGGCCGAGGTATTCTCCAGAGATGCCCCGAGAGAACCCCAAGATAGCCCGGCAAGGCCCCAAGACTTTGAAGGTCGAAAAGGGGTGTAGCATAAAGAGGTGTGGCGCCAATGCTGAGTCTTACGATGCTATCGTAGATAACATCTCCATTTCCACGAGTGGCACCACACCCCTTTATTTATGCCACAACCCCTTTCCTCGGGTGCGGCCAAGAGGGGGGCGTCCAAGAGGGGGTGTGCAAATCATGACCAGCGGCATGTGCGCGGCCCAGGGGTGTGGGGGGGCTGGGGACGTAATGAAATAAGAAGACGCGCCATTAAATCTGAGGAAGTATCATGGCCCACGCCATGACATCCACCCCCCCCGAGTCATCACCCCCCTCTTTGCCGACCCCGACTTCCTACTTCCAGCAAGACGGCCGCGACTGGCCGAGGAGCGCAGGGAGGCCGGCCGAGGCCCACCCGGCTGCCAGGAGGGTGGCCACGCCAGCAGCCGCCGTCCACGGCGCGGGCGGGGCGGCGCCGCAAACGCACGACCCCCGCCTGGCGCGCCTGGGCATGGCATGCGGCCCGCCACGCGCGGTCTCCACGCCACTGCGGAGGGGGGGGGGAAGGGGGAGGGGAGAGGGAGGGCGGAGGCGGAGGCGAGGAGAGGGGAGGGGAGGGCGCGGGACAGGTGGGTGCCGCAGAAATGGAATCAGCGAGAGAACCTGACAGCAATCGCTTGCATTCACTGGCCCAGACGTTGCGCCATGCGTTGAGATCCGCACGACTGCACGAATGTACAAGATGGGTGGCATGAAAGACCGATTTGGGTCCGAATGCGGATTGCGGATTGGAATTGTCTCGGGCTCCACATGGATGTGCGCAATGTTTCGTTCCATGATGGCGACCCGTGAATACCCTAATGCCGCGCGCGCGAATCCCGAGGCGCACACCCAGGTGAAGTCCTTCTCTTCCCTCGACGGCCGCAGAAGAGGAGTTGCAAAATGACTGGGTGCGCTCGCGGCTCGGCATCCGCGCCAAGCAGCATCCCAGACGCCCGCCCTCGAGAAACGACCTGGGGCAACGAGCAACACCGTGGTCCTCGCCAGAAAAGGTAGAGGAGGAGGAGAAGGAAGAAGATGAGGAGGAGGAGGAGGAGGAAGAGGAGGAGGAGGAGGAGGAGGAGGGGGAGGAGGGGGAGGAGGAGGAGGAGGAGGATGAGGAGGAGGAGGAGGAGGACCCCCCTGGAAAGGTTGGCGCCTCTGGGCGCGGGGCCTCCTGCTCAGTCCGGGACGGCTCCTTGGAGCTCCCCCTGCGCCGCCACACGCGCAGCAGCGCCCAGTGCTCGGGGAAGCCAACAGAACAGCCGACTCTGATGCAGACGCAGTGACACCCGGGAAGCCCCAATCAGTGGATGATTTGAACATCGGTGCCGCGGATCTTGAGGTCGAGTGCGAGATCGATCGTGAGATCGATAGTGTAATCGACAGTGAGGACGATAATAAGGTCGATCGTGAGACCGAGAGTGAAATCGATTCATTGAGATCGGTCGAGAAATCGACGACAACAACAACTGCGACTCCAGATCCGCTCGGGCCACCGGCTCCCACGACGGGCCCGTGCTGCACGCCCCGGACTCGTCAGGCGCAGCTCCTTTTGCTGGTGGCTGCTGCCAAATTCGGCTGCACGTAAGACCCTGGGCAAGAGTGACCTTTGGTGCGCGGCTTTCTTGAGGGCGCGAGGAGGCCAAACACAAGTGCGCAGGACGCTACTATCGCAACGAGCGCGGCGATTGGGGGGACCCCAGTGAGCGCGCACCAAAGGTCACTCCGGCGAAGGGTCATTCTTATGTGTAGTCGACAAATGACACGAAGATGCTCTGATAGTCGTTTTGGAAAGTCTCGGATGGACTCGGGATACTTCGGCAGGCTTCGGGAGGCTTGGGCAGGTTTCTGCAGGCTTCGGACGGCTTCGGAAATTTTCGCCCGTTTCGGAAGGTTTCGCACGGTTTCGAAAGGTGTCGGAAGATTTCGGAAGCTTTCGGAATGTTTCGGGAGGCTCCAACAGGTTTCGGGAAGCTTAGGGATGATTCGGGAGGTTTCGGACAGTTTCGGGATGTAGGTTTCTAAAAGCTGAGACACCCACGACACGTTCGACGATCCAAAATATCCATACTGCCTTTACCACCTGAGGCTGGCCCGGCCAGGCTTGTCCAAATCAGCCTGGCTGGCTAGGCTACAAGATTTAGTGACAACAGGCTGGCCAGCCAAAATCAGGAGTCGACATCAGCATGGCCACCGCTCGGATAACCAATCGAAAATTGCCTGGCTGTGTTACCTTCACGGTCCACTGAACAAAAGGTCCGCTGGACATACGAAACGATCGGGTCATGCCATGGTAGCCCACACTAGCCGAACCTATCTCGTCTAACATGGAAGCGTACTCGGTCTCAACCAAAAATTGTAGTGACGTGCCGTTCGTGATGTTCGTGTGCGATGATATGCATTCACGTGCACTTTTGCGGGATCGGTGTGGTTAAGCGAGCAATCAAGTTAATGAACTTTGGTGCACGCGTGTAAAATGACAACTTCTCGAACGGTTTGAGCAACGTGGCAATGACAGTTAAAATGCTGGGTACGTATGTCACAACAATGATTGGGCAACGAAATATCTCAAGCCTGGACACGACCTGGACCATACCCGTTTCCAAAACAGTCAGGGTGGTGATAACTGGCTCACTGAAAAGGAAGCGTCAACAATTCAAGTTGGTGAGTTTTAATTCTCTTGCACAGCTGTGCTCTAGAGCTCGGGCATCTTTATTTTCGTGTCGTGTCGTGTCGTGTCGTTCGTCCCCCTGCCCCCCCTCCTCCAGGCTTCCCAGGGCAGCCCCCCCCTGGGCCTCGGACACCTTTATTTTCGTGTCGTGTCGTGTCGTGTCGTTCGTCCCCCTGCCCCCCCCCCTGCCCCCCCCCCCCCTCCAGGTTTCCCAGGGCAGCTCCCCCCTGGGCCTCGGACGCCTTTATTTTCGGTCGTGTCGTGTCGTGTGTCGTCACCCCCTGCCCCCCCCCCGCCCCCCCCCCCCCCCCCCCCTCCAGGCTTCCCAGGGCAGCCCCCCCCTGGGCCTCGGACGCCTTTATTTTCGTGTCGTGTCGTGTCGTGTCGTTCGTCCCCCTGCCCCCCCCCCCTGCCCCCCCCACCCCCCCCCCCCCTCTCTGCCCAGGCTTCCCACCAGCAGCCCCCCTGAGCCTCGGACACCTTTGTGCAAGAGCCAGGGCACGCGTGCCACTTGTTCGCGATGCCCTCATTCAACATTAATAAGTCCGACATCGACGAGACAACACCACAAAAACAACGCAACCTCGACTTTGGCCTGGTATCATCAACATGCTTTTTCCTCGTGAAAAAAAAACGCGCTATGGGGGGAAAGCGGGGCACCCCAGGCAAGACGGGGATGCGTAAACTTCCCGGTGCGCATACGCAACGGACTACCACGTCGATTCCAAGGCACCCTGCTAGCGCGCACCACGGCGCATGAACGACGGACTGCCAGCGAACGCCAGAACCAGCACCTGCAGACGCGACGACGGAACGGCACCCAGTCCTTCCTTTACGGAAACGCAGCGAAAACAATTTCGATCCTGGCAAATACACGCATGTTTTGCGAGCCCACCGCATGACAATTACCTTGCGACGTACCGAACCCATCTGCACTAGGTGACAACTGGAGTTGGTGCAAAAAAAACTGGCAGATGCCAGAACAAGATCTGTCGTTGGTTGTGCAAGCTACATGAGAGACGCGCGCTGCACGATTCACAAGACAACAGACAAAACGTTCACGGAGGCCCCAGGCTCGAAGAAAAAATGGGGGCGGGAATTTGGGGCCAAGACAAGACAGCACATCGACGCAACATTGGCAATTGAGGCAACCAGTTGACGCAACATTGGCAATGTGACGGCGAAATCGGAAGGGGACGACCACATATTAAGCATAATGAGGAAGAAGAGCGACGGCCACTTCCCAATGGCATGCTGGATAAGCGGCGCGGCCCGCACCATGTCGCTCTGGCGCTCCAGAGGATCAGCTGTTCAGAATTCGTTACCAATGCAAGAAGCGAGCGAGGCCGGCCTCGCCCATCAACTTCCCCGCTTCGCCCCCGCAGCGTGCAGCGCGGGAGTTAAACGCTCGCAAGCGTGCCGCCACGTCTTCGGGACCCACGGGGCAAATCAAGGCTAATCTACCTCCGTCGGACGTCAAAATGTCGAACCCTTAGAAGTCATCGAAAATAGCGACAGCTTCGCAGACGTAGATTGCCGCCCCCCAGGGATGGCGAGGTCGAAGTTAACCCCCCGTGAGACGCTACTCCGCTGGAGCCCAACAACCTCGAAACTGGCGACGGATTCGCAAATCGCACCCCCCCTGGATGGAGATGTCTAATCAGGTCCGCGTAAGACGCCACTCCGCTGGACCCCCCAGCAGCCCTAAAAAGATGGCGAGGTCTCATTCAGGTTTGCATAAGCCGCCACTCCGGTGGACCCCAGCAGCCTTCGAAAGTGGCGACGGTTTCGCAAACCCCCGCAACCAGGCCTTCTTCGACGCCCTGGGCGCGGACCGCGCCGGGGCTGAGTTGGGGCGCCCAAGGCTGCCACCCCCGCGCCCCGCCAGGGAGGCCACCTCCGGGGGCGAGCACGGCGAATCCCAGGTGGGCGACATCGGCCGCCGCCCTGCCAACATCTACCTGCCGCGGTGACGCGACGGCACGGCGGCCGCCTGGGACTTTGCCGCCACGTCGGGGTTGCGCGCCGATCTCCTCGCCGCGCCGGCTTCCGCGAGCGCGGCGACGGAGCGGTACGAGAAGTTCAACAAGCAGGACCAAGACACCGCGCGGCTGTGCGTGGCACAAGGTGTCACCTCCATCCATCCCACGGCGGCGAGCGGGGCCGCGAGGCACGCATGGCCTTCGGGGCCACGGCCAAGCGGGTGGCAGACGCCACGGGGGAACGCGCCGAGCTGGTTGCGGACCAATACGCCCAGCGACTTTTCATATCGCTGCACAGGGAAAACGCGCGGGCGGTGTTGCGGCGCCGCCAGACGTAGTCTGGAGGGGTGGGAGTGGCAACGGCCCGCCTTTGGTGCGGCTTTTACCCGCCCGCCGCTCTCTTGATGACCATTCAGCTTGAGGTGTTCGCACTGGGCACTCGACTAGGCCGGCGATGAGCGCCCGAGCCACGGTCAGCTCGGGGCATTGTTGCGCGCGGCCAGGGTCGAACGCCGCACCTATCGTCGAGGTGTGACGCGCCGAGCCGTTTGGCCTCCGCACGCAAGTTTTCCGAACGAGCACTTGCTGGACGTCACGAAAATCCATATTTATTCGAACGGGTTTGGCTACATGGCGATACAACCTCACAAAGTGCTTGCGTCTGTGGAGTGAGTGTGTGTGTGTGTGTTGACCACCCTGCGCTTCATAATTGGGGAACAAAGGAAACAACCAAACAACACAGAAACACATGTCTATGGTCCAACGAAAAAATCCAACAGGGACATGAGGACGGAATCACATGGCAATGTCGAAATAACAACAAACCTAACCCAAATATCTGTGGATAGCGATTG